AATCAACTCTCACTCTCTCTCTTATTTAAAGTTATTCTTATATCTTTATTCCTGTACAATACTATGTACTTGCATGGTTGTGGGCTCCATAGGTAAACAACAAAATAAAATGGTTCTGTCTATGCATAACTAAAGATTTGTATTAGTCTTACTGGTTATGTGGAGAAATGGGAAAAACATCACTTAGAGTATCATTGCTCGTTGAAGAGCTGGCAACAATCTTGCTTAAATAATTCTGTAAAAGTTTGAAGCCCTCTTTTAGGAGATCCCCCAGGTTAACTGCTTCTCAAATGTAGGATTAGCTACTGTGTACAAAAACAGGACTGCCACTATTCACAAATGCACCATTGTAGTCATCTACTAAACAAAGTTTAATGTCAGGTCTTCATGTTTAGAAGGAAAGAAAGGGAAAATTAAAATGTAGATATTAACATGGGAACCCCGGGAGTCCCAAGGGACTGATTCCTTGAAGTGTTACAGAAGACAGAGAAGACGTAATTTCATTCCGCATAGCAGAAACATCTACACAGCATCGATATTTAAACAGATGGCAGAATCATCTTCTCAGCAAAAGAAGTGACAGGTAAGAACAATTCTCTTTTATTCATTCCAGTTACTTAGAACATCAGTTATTAAAGCAGTGCCAAATGTCGGATACTTATAACTCACGCAGGATATTATAATATGAGTTATGCTTGTATTTTCTTACTCCTGAAATAAAAGAGTAAGCATTTCTGGGCTCAGGTAAATGGTTCCAAAATTATTAGCTAGAATAAATTACTTATACTACTGTGAATTCAAATCATATAATACTAGAGGAAGAATGTATTTAACGTATTTAAAGTTCTATCTGTAATGATACAATTTGGGATCACCTGGATTTCTTTTTGTTGGAATGTTGTGTATTAGAAATCTATAATATTATCTAATAATAATTAATCTGAAACAAAACTGAGATAGGTAGCTATGGTCCTCCATTTGCAACACTCTGCTTACCTGTCTAGCAATCATCACATTAAATTCAATGAGCTTCACCGGCTGGACAAGGTTTTACATAATATGTACATATCCAAAATTTAGGCAGTTTGCTAAAAGACAACAGGCAAATCTTGTCATGTTATATGTAAGATCTGCAGCAGTTTGATTGATTTGTTTAACTAGTTGGTTAGTCAATATCAGTTTTATGTATGTAAATATCAGTTTTATGTATGTAAATATCAGTTTTATGTATTTTTGGTGTTTCATGGATTGGTCATTGGCCACAATAAATCATGTTCTTCTCATCCCCGTCCTCATCCTCATCCTGTCACCGTGTGTAAAAGAAATCAGCTGCCAATTCTGTAACAGCTACATTTTATGAATTCTCACTGATCTTAGAAAATTGGAGCACACAGAAATGAAAAAAAAGAAGGAAAGGAAAGGAAAGGAAAGGAAAGGAAAGGAAAGGAAAGGAAAGGAAAGGAAAGGAAATGTTTTAATTTGTTTGGATGGATTGCAGGACATGTTACATAGTGAATTTTACCCACAACTGTAAGGTGTTGCTTTTTCTTGGAACACAAAAGTACAGAACAATTTTATAGAATTCTGTCTATATTATTTTAGTATAATGTCTGTCTGTCTGTCTATAGATCTATCTATCTTTATAGAAACAAAGAACATACATGTTGGATTAATTTTATTTATTTATGAAATGTGACTCTGAGTGGTGTACAATAAAAACAAACACTATAAGAACACATATTAAAACAAAAAAACAGTTAAAGCATAAA